GATAGAACCATTCTTAGTTTTTCAGCAATGTTTGGAAATTCGGAAAAATTCACAGAAAGTGAATCAGCCTCTGAAATTTATAAAACAATAAGAGTTTCAAACCAAGTTTCAAACACAATAAGCAGAACTAAATTCAAAGTTTTGAGCATCAAGATATAATAGTTGGAAGTTGACTGGTTTTGGCAACCTGTTCATAAGATTTTCCAGTTTTCAACTTAAACATAGTTTTGGAATCAAACCATATCTAACTTTACACAAGTTCAAATTGAGAATGGTTTATGGCGTTAGAAATTAGGTTCAAAATGCTACACTTCATCAACATTGTTTTCAAAATCTTTTCACAAGTGGAACAAAATCGAGCCATAAGATGCAGTTTTCTAGTTTCTCTCGGACAAACAGACATAACAGGACATTCTAATTTGCCGATTCGCTACGATTTACTCAAAATGAAATAGCAGGGGAATTATATACCATTTGAAATCTCTAAATGTCTAGTTTTGAATGCTGTAAACAGCACTCAATTTTGACTTTTGTACAAAGAGTTATATTCAGACAAAGTACCTCTGTCCGGCTACCCTAGTAACTAGTTTCCAGATTTCGAACTTCCTCTAAAACTCAAGTTTTATGTAACCATTTGAAAATGATTTTTGAAAGAAACTTTCTACACACACAATACAACATATATCAATCAGTTTAGTATCGATATAATCAACAAAAATTCGAGTTCAAAGCAGGACAGCAAAACAGAAATTTCGGCCAGCTCCCTCTCACGGCTTCCTTCAATTTTCTCTCCACTATCAAACCATAATCAAATTATAATTCACATAAATATCAACAATCAAGCAATATCCTCAAGTTAGCTACCTCATAGGCCACCTCAAGACCGCTAGCCTAGAATTTAAAGCAAGATAAAAGCTTCCTCAAGTCCTCTAGCCTACTATCTTGATTAGGGTTTGAAACCCATGAAAACTAACCATCAATTTTTGTATAAATGGAAAGATTAAAGGAGGGATGAAGGGTTACCTTCCAAGCAACTAAACCTTAGATGTAAGTGAGAGTTTTCTCCAAGATATCACTAAGAAACTCCACAAGAGTGCACCTTTCCTCAAGTTAGAGTGAAATTCCAAATGGGTTGATGGTTGGATGTTGATTTGCAAGCCAAATTGAAACTAGGAGATGAAGTTTCTTCTTCCCTTTTCTTTTCTTTTGGTCAGCTGAGAGAGAGAGATGGTGAGGGAGGGTTTGGTGTTGTGAATCTTGTGTAGGAAGATTGAAAAAAAGTAGCTTTAAGTTGTGCAAGAAAGTCAACACTTAATAGTGGCGAAATAGTGTTGTGTACTACTACTCCCTCTCTTGTTTGTTACACTTATGCACTAATCCTCCAAAGTAATTCCTCTAGCACTGTAATTACTTATACTTACTAATCTAGTACTAAATTCTAGAATCTCCAATTAGTCGTATCGGCACGACTTTCAAGAAACTTTCGACGTGAGCACGATAAAGTGAAATTTAAGGGAAATACATGCAATACTAGTATAATTAAATAACACTAGGGCAAATAATTATAAAAATGACTAGATTAAGAAATAAAACATGAGTCCTCACATTCTCTCCCGTTTAAGAGAATTTCGTCCACGAAATTCATACTTTGATTTGGGAATAGATCTGGATATTTTTCGAATCTCCTCCTCTACTTTCCAAGTTGCTTCCTCTATTTCGTGGTTCCTCCATAGAACTTTTACCAGAGGAATTCGTTTATTCCTTAGTTCCTTCACTTTTCGATCCAGAAGCTTCACTGGTTTCTCTTCATAAGTTAGTGCCTCGTTGATCTCAATATTTTCTGGTTGTAGTACATGGGAAGGATTTGGGTGGTACTTCTTGAGCATAGACACGTGAAAAATATTACGAATTCGAGACAAACTTGGTGGCAGTTCCAACTTATAGGCCACGTTTCCCACGCGTTGTAGAATCTTATAAGGTCTTACAAATCTTGGTTGCAATTTCTTTCCTTTTCCTGCCATCAAACTTGCTTTTAGAGGAGTGATCTTAAGAAAAACTTGATCTCCAACCATAAACTGCAAATCCTTTCTCCAGTTATCTGCATAGCTCTTTTGACGGCTCTGAGCTGTCTGAATCTTTTGGCGTATTAACTTCACCTTTTCACACACCTCTTCAATCCATGGTACTGCAGTTGGGTCTAAAATCTTTCTTTCACCTATTTCATCCCAACAAATCGGAGATCTACACTTCCGGTCATAAAGAGGTTCATATGGAGTCATTTGAATGGATGAATGAAAGCTATTACTATAAGCAAATTCCACCAGTGTCAAGTACTTACACCAACTCTCTCCAAAATCCAAAATACAGGTTCTCAACATATCCTCAAAGGTCTGAATTGTCCTCTCAGATTGTCCATCAGTCTAGAGGTGGTAGGTAGTGCTAAAACTCAATTTAGTTCCTAACATTTCTTGCATCTTCTGCCAGAACTGAGAAACAAACCGAGGGTTTCGGTCAAATACAATACTTAAAAGTATCCCATGTAGCCTTATAATCTCATCCAAATATAATTTAACTAATTTCTTCAGGGAGTACTTCATACTAATTGGCAGAAAATGAGCAGATTTGGCCAGTCTATCTACTATCACCCAAACAGCGTCGTGACCTCTTTGTGTCCTTGGTAATCCAAATACAAAATCTATGGTGATGTTTTCCTATTTTCACTCAGGTATCTCTAAAGGTTGCAGTAGACCAGACGGTTTCTGATGCTCGATTTTAACCTGCTGGCAAATCAAACAAGTCTGGATAAATCGAGTAATTTCCTTCTTCATGTTCTCCCACCAGTACGGACTCTTCAAATCTTGGTATATTTTATTCCCTCCAAGATGTACCATATACTTAGAACGATGGGATTCCTCCAAAATTTTTCTTTTTAACCCTTCATCCTTTGGTACTACTATGTGATTTCGAAATCTTAGTACACAATTTATTCCCAAATTAAAATTCGACTTTTCTCCCTTATTAACTCTTTTCACCCACTTTTGCACCTCTGAATCCTTCTCTTGTGCCTCCTCGATACGATCTAGTAAAACGGATTTCACGACAATGTTCCCAAGGATTACCTTACTTGGTTCAAGATGAGAGTTCCAAATACTAATCTCTTCTAACAAGTGTAATTTTTTAATCATCAATCCTGCTACTTGCACTTGAAGATTCAAAGCATCAGCTACCATATTAATTTTCCTGGGGTGATAATTAATCGTGCAATCATAATTTTCTAAAAATTTCACCCATCTGCGTTGTTTCAAATTCAACTCTTTTTGAAAAAACAGTACTTAAAACTCTTGTGGTCCGTAAAAATCTCAAATGTCACCCCATATAGGTAATGTCTTCGCTTTTTAATGCAAACACTGCAGCCGCTAACTCCAAATCATGAGTTGGATAATTCTTCTCGTGAGATTTTAATTTCCTAGAGGCATACGCAATCACCTTTTCATTTTGCATCAATACACACCCCAAGTTTTCTTTTGAAGCATCTGTATAAACCATAAAACTATCCTTTCTATTAGGTAAAGCTAATACAGGTGTCCTTGTCAAACATTATTTTAACTCTTGAAAACTTTTTTCACACTTAAAACTCCATATAAACTTTTCACTTTTCTTAGTCAACTCAGTCATAGGTCCCACAATCTTAAAATTTTTTTTGATAAATCTCCGGTAATACCCTACTAACCCTAAGAATCTTCAAATTTCAGTAGAATTTTTCGGTTGCTTCTACTTAGATACTGCTTCAACTTTGGTCGGATCCATCTTAATTCCGTTCTTAGAGATTATATGACCTAAGAAAGTTACTTCCTTCAATCAAAATTCACATTTGCTAAACTTAACATACAACTGATGTTCTCTCAAGATTTGCAAAACAATTTTCAAATGTTTCTCATGATCCTGCAGAGTCTTAAAATACACCAGTATATCGTCAATAAATACCACTACAAACTGATTCAGATAAGATTTAAAGATTCGATGCATTAAATCCATAAAAGCTACAGGAGCATTAGTCAATCCGAACGGCATCACTGCGAACTCAAAGTGTCCGCACCTTGAGTTAAAGGCAGTTTTAGATATATCTTTTTTCAAAATCCTCAACTGATAATAACCTTACCTGAGATTCAACTTTGAGAATACTACCGCCCCTTGTAATTGGTCAAACAATTTATCAATGTGGGATAAAAGGTACTTATTTTTTATGGTAACATCATTCAAGTCTCGGTAATCAATACACCACTATAAGCTACCATCTTTCTTCTTAACAAATAACACCGGAGCTCCCCACGGTGAATCATTTTCTTTTATAAAGTCTCGCTCTAGCAAATCCTGTAATTGCAATTTCAACTCTTTCAATTCAATTGGAGCCATTCTATAAGGCGTTTTAGAGATAAGTGCTACCCCTGAAATTACATCAATTTTAAAGGTTATCTCTCTTTCAGGGGGCAAAGATTCTAGTTTCTCAGGAAAAATATTTGGATACTCCTTTACTATTGGCATATCTTCCAACCTTACCTTATCACTAAGAATATTTATTAGAAAAGTCAAATATCCTTGAACTCCCTTACTCAACATCTTTCTAGCTCGAATTCCTGAAATAAGGGCAGATGAGACTAGTCTACCCCTTACGTCCAATTTTAGGGTTGCCTTTCCTGGAATACACAATTCTACCATTTTTGTCTTACAATTCAACTGATCATGGTAACGAGCTAACCAGTCCATTCTTAGGATGACATCATACCCCTTAATAGCTAAACTCATCAGATAGGCTAACAATTTTCGCTCTCCAACCCATATTTCACAATCTCTATACACCAAGTTAGTAATCAAATTTTGATCTCCAGTAGGCGTTCTAACTTTCAAGTCATAAGGTAACTTAATTGGTTTCACATTTACCCCACTCATGAATTTAGGGTTTACAAAAGAGTGTGTCGCATCCGGATCAATTAAAAGCTTATCTAACGGTGAAAAATAGGGATCATACCTTCAACTATCTCAGTGGAATCAAGAATCTGTTGATGGTCCAATGCATAAATTCTAGCTGGCACTTTAGGTCGACTCCTTCCAGCACTAGACTGCTTAGAGGTTGGCTTCTCTGGCTGTTGAGTACTACCTCCTACTTTCGGCACACTTGGACAATTTGAGAGTTGGTGCTCGGCACTGTCACAGTACAAGCACTTTTTTGATTTCCTCCAACAATCATTTTCTACATGAATGGACTTGCTACAGTAGCCACAACTAACTTGAGGAGTCACTGCTTGACCACCAGAGTGTATTCCTCTCGCTTGACCTTGCCCAGTGCGGCCTCCTCTTGATAAGGCCCTTCTTCGTGCTCCAGTGGTCATCAATCTGCTCGCTCCTCTTCCCATTTTAGGAGGTGTGACACTCTTACTTATTTGTCCAGAAGGATGACTAGGAGCGCCCTTTTTCTTGGCATGAAAGTTCCTAACTTGCAACCTTGCATTTTCGACTCTCTGTGCTTTCTCTAGGACTTCCGTGAATGTAGAGATTTGGGTTGCTGCTAATCCCTCTTGAATCTCCACATTAAGTCCTTGTACAAAGCGCCTTATCCTTCTCCGTTCATTAGCCACCAATTTCGGAGCGTACTTAGAAAGTTTAATAAATCTTCCCTCATAATCGGCCACGCTAGAAGCCCCCCGTCTCAATTTTACGAATTCGTCCTCCCGTTTCTATTGAATCAGGGGCGGGAGAAATTTCTCATTAAACTCTCTTATAAAGTTTTCTCAGATCCAAGGGGTTTATACTCTTTCCCATTTTTTTCTTATCACATCCCACCAAGCACGTGCTGCACCCTTAAATTGGAAGGCAGCGAAGGCCTTTCCTTAGTATAGTCTAAGACGGCAAATATATTGGTTATTCTCTCTAGCCAGTTTTCCTCTAACTCGGGGTCAGGCCCTTCAATAAATTTAGGTGGAGCAAATTTCAAAAATCTCTCCAAAGTTCTATCATCTCCTTTATTCTGAGCCCCGGGTTGGTTAACAGATCTTGGACCCTGTCGCTCTGCTAACCGTTCTAAGATATCCGTCATTCGGTTAATGGCAGTAGCCACTTGGTCATCCTCTTCGTTCACTTGCTCTTGGCTCGGTCCAATTGCCGATCCTTGATCATCCCCTTGAGTTTGGGATTGCTTAACCCCACGCCCTCAAACCCTACCATTCCTTCGACCGTCCATGATTCTAATTATGTTTAGATGCAAGAATAAAAATAATTCTGCTAGAGAATACTAAAAAATAAAAGCCAACATGGAAAAATTGGAAATAACAATAATTAGCATATATTAACATTTCAAGGTTCGTACAATTAGCAAGTCATGGGGCATTTACAAAAATATAGCACACAGGTGCCACAAAAGTGCAATTAGTCATGCAATACAAGTCAAGAGCTTTACAAGCATCACCCCAACTAATCTCAGTTACAAAAATCTAAAGGTTCAGCATTCCTAGCCTAGTTCGTATTCGAACCGCTAGTCTAGATCTCCTCCTTTGGGTCCTCCTCAGGAGTGCTCTCATGAGCCGGGCTATCGACGGTTTCTATTACCTCTTCTATCAACATGGTGGTGTCAGCTAGAATCCCAGCAGTCCGATCCCGAACCTCCTTGACTACCCTAGTCAGTCGAGCCCTAGTCCTCTGAAGCTCGACACTAGCGGTCTCAGCTCTAGTCCGCTCATCTATCACCGTCCCCTCGAGTTCCGAAATCCTAGCACCCTGACATCCACCATAGCGTCCATCTCCTCAATCTCCTAAAATAATGCCCTATTAGTAGCCACCAACTGTCGGCGCTCATCATCAATGGACAGCACAAGATCATTAGGGTAGGCATGTGTCTCCCTACAAGGGCAACGAAGAAACCTAGTGAAAGACGAATATCGGACACGAGATCCTCCACCCAGAACTCGATACTGGATAGGCCTAGGAAACTCTACGTGACCATTAGCCTCTCCATTACCATTAGCCGCATGTCTTCTATTTCCGTTCTCCATTCCTACAAAACAACCATAAAACTCACGGTTAGAAACTTAAAGTCACTAATTTACTCAAACATCAACTTAAGACATAACTAAACTATCTCATTCCTATTCTCAAGGGTAAAACCCCTAAAACATCTCCCAAATAGATCTCTAAACCTAAGCTTTAATACCAATTGTGATGCCCCCACTTCTCCCAAAGGCGAATCCAAGGGTATCAGTGGAACGCCTGCCTAACTCTCGCCAGAACTCGATACAAGTCAAATTTAAACTTAAGGATAAACAACCAATAATAAAAGTCGAAGTAAGGAAAAGTCGCTTCCTTAAATAAATATTCAAATCTTAAATCACAAGTTTTAAAAAATACATCAAATCTCCCAATAAACACAACCACCATAAGTCGACTAATCGATTACATTCAAAATTCTACTCATAAAGTAATCAAGTTGGCTTTCCAAAAGTCTTTCCATTCCGAGCTCCTGTTAAGGAAAACAAACTAATAGGATGAGTTAATGCTCAGTGAGACCAAGAAAAGCATGCAAACATATAGTTCAAGTAACAATAACACTTATACATGAAATAAAGCTATAAAGTTAAGGTAATTTACAATTAATAATAAAACACAATCAATAAGGATACGGGAGCTCTAAGGAGCTAGATTCCTTTTGCTTTGCCAAGGCTCGATCCAATACCTCCACGTGATGACACTCCGTCAACCAGGTAGGTATTAACTCCGTAGAACTGCACTTACTTCAAAATCCCGTTCACCATTACACCCTCTTTTTCGGGCCCGCACTTTAGTTATAAAAGGCGATATTACTCGAGGATGCCAAGCGAGATCTCAAAAGATTAAACTTTATGATTTTCTCATGGTTTACCAAGTTTATCGACCAATCCCATGCCGGCTCGATTTACAAGGTTAGCCAATGAGTTTGGGTGTCCCCCACGATTACAAATATAAGTCGATGAGATTCACTACAATCGACATCAAATCAAACACAAGTATAATTTCAACTATGAGCAAGTCAATTATCTAACCAAGTAAAAGAGAACGAGCGCGATAAAGTACACACTCGACTCGACAAGTCCAATTCACATATTCGACAGGAAGTATTTCAAGTATTATACAACAAGTCATGCACTTGACACTCAGCAATTCAAAACAAGTAAGTAATAAAGTCTTTAGTTGTCCGCTCCAAGATTCCCTTCATAATCCTCTTGAGCGCCTGAAGAAATAGTGATCAACCATCACTCACATATACACACAGCCACTGATCATTCAAGGAAGAAAGTACACTCGCTTAAAATTTAAAACAATGTCTTAGAACGGCTTAATCTATCAAAAATAGAGATTTAAAAGTGAGGATTTAAAATGACAAGAAAAACTTGTATCCTCCATGAAATCGGGTTTAAAACAGACTATCAATATCAAAAGGATGTGAAAAGTTCTAAAAAGATCATTTCCTATGAAATCGGAAATTTTCAGCTTTACGCGACAAAATTTGAAAAAATCGTATCTTGAGTTTGGTATGTCGAAAAATGGAAAACTTTATACCGTTGAAAACTAGACTAAAATTAGTAAAAATTCCCAGAAGACATTTTTCAAGATTCCAACCAGAAAGCATTCAAATTTCAGTTCAAAGTTGCAGTTTCAAGAAGACAGGATAGAACCAGTCTTAGTTTTTCAGCAATGTTTGGAAATTCAGAAAAATTCACAGAAAGTGAATCAGCCTCTGAAATTTATAAAACAATAAGAGTTTCAAACCAAGTTTCAAACACAATAAGCAGAACTAAATTCAAAGTTTTGAGCAACAAGATATAACAGTTGGAAGTTGACTGGTTTTGGCAACCTGTTCATAAGATTTTCCAGTTTTCAACTTAAACATAGTTTTGGAATCAAACCATATCTAACTTTACACAAGTTCAAATTGAGAATGGTTTATGGCGTTAGAAATTAGGTTCAAAATGCTACATTTCATCAACATTGTTTTCAAAATCTTTTCACAAGTGGGACAAAATCGAGCCATAAGATGCAGTTTTCTAGTTTCTCTCGGACAGACAGACATAACAGGACATTCTAATTTGCCGATTCGCTACGATTTACTCAAAATGAAATAGCAGGGGAATTATATACCATTTGAAATCTCTAAATGTCTAGTTTTGAATGCTGTAAACAGCACTCAATTTTGACTTTTGTACAAAGAGTTATATTCAGACAAAGTACCTCTGTCCGGCTACCCTAGTAACTAGTTTCCAGATTTCGAACTTCCTCTAAAACTCAAGTTTTATGTAACCATTTGAAATGATTTTTGAAAGAAACTTTCTACACACACAATACAACATATATCAATCAGTTTAGTATCGATATAATCAACGAAAATTCGAGTTCAAAGCAGGACAGCAAAACAGAAATTTCGGCCAGCTCCCTCTCACGGCTTCCTTCAATTTTCTCTCCACTATCAAACCATAATCAAATTATAATTCACATAAATATCAACAATCAAGCCATATCCTCAAGTTAGCTACCTCATAGGCCACCTCAAGACCGCTAGCCTAGAATTTAAAGCAAGATAAAAGCTTCCTCAAGTCCTCTAGCCTACTATCTTGATTAGGGTTTGAAACCCATGAAAACTAACCATCAATTTTTGTATAAATGGAAAGATTAAAGGAGGGATGAAGGGTTACCTTCCAAGCAACTAAACCTTAGATGTAAGTGAGAGTTTTCTCCAAGATATCACTAAGAAACTCCACAAGAGTGCACCTTTCCTCAAGTTAGAGTGAAATTCCAAATGGGTTGATGGTTGGATGTTGATTTGCAAGCCAAATTGAAACTAGGAGATGAAGTTTCTTCTTCCCTTTTCTTTTCTTTTGGTCAGCTGAGAGAGAGAGATGGTGAGGGAGGGTTTGGTGTTGTGAATCTTGTGTAGGAAGATTGAAAAAAAGTAGCTTTAAGTTGTGCAAGAAAGTCAACACTTAATAGTGGCGAAATAGTGTTGTGTACTACTACTCCCTCTCTTGTTTGTTACACTTATGCACTAATCCTCCAAAGTAATTCCTCTAGCACTGTAATTACTTATACTTACTAATCTAGTACTAAATTCTAGAATCTCCAATTAGTCGTATCGGCACGACTTTCAAGAAACTTTCGACGTGAGCACGATAAAGTGAAATTTAAGGGAAATACATGCAATACTAGTATAATTAAATAACACTAGGGCAAATAATTATAAAAATGACTAGATTAAGAAATAAAACATGAGTCCTCACATTCTCTCCCGTTTAAGAGAATTTCGTCCACGAAATTCATACTTTGATTTGGGAATAGATCTGGATATTTTTCGAATCTCCTCCTCTACTTTCCAAGTTGCTTCCTCTATTCCGTGGTTCCTCCATAGAACTTTTACCAGAGGAAATCGTTTATTCCTTAGTTCCTTCACTTTTCGATCCAGAAGCTTCACTGGTTTCTCTTCATAAGTTAGTGCCTTGTTGATCTCAATATTTTCTGGTTGTAGTACATGGGAAGGATTTGGGTGGTACTTCTTGAGCATAGACATATGAAAAATATTACGAATTCGAGACAAACTTGGTGGCAGTTCCAACTTATAGGCCACGTTTCCCACGCGTTGTAGAATCTTATAAGGTCTTACAAATCTTGGTTGCAATTTCTTTCCTTTTCCTGCCATCAAACTTTCTTTTAGAGGAGTGATCTTAAGAAAAACTTGATCTCCAACCATAAACTGCAAATCCTTTCTCCAGTTATCTGCATAGCTCTTTTGACGGCTCTGAGCTGTCTGAATCTTTTGGGGTATTAACTTCACCTTTTCACACACCTCTTCAATCCATGGTACTGTAGTTGGGTCTAAAATCTTTCTTTCACCTATTTCATCCCAACAAATCAGAGATCTACACTTCCAGTCATAAAGAGGTTCATATGGAGCCATTTGAATGGATGAATGGAAGTTATTACTATAAGCAAATTCCACCAGTGTCAAGTACTTACACCAACTCTCTCCAAAATCCAAAATACAGGTTCTCAACATATCCTCAAGGGTCTGAATTGTCCTCTCAGATTGTCCATCAGTCTAGGGGTGGTAGGTAGTGCTAAAACTCAATTTAGTTCCTAACATTTCTTGCATCTTCTGCTAGAACTGAGAAACAAACCGAGGGTTTCGGTCAAATACAATACTTACAAGTATCCCATGTAGCCTTATAATCTCATCCAAATATAACTTAACTAATTTCTTCAGGGAGTACTTCATACTAATTGGCAGAAAATGAGCAGATTTGGCCAGTCTATCTACTATCACCCAAACAGCTTCGTGACCTCTTTGTGTCATTGGTAATCCAAATACAAAATCTATGGTGATGTTTTCCTATTTTCACTCAGGTATCTCTAAAGGTTGCAGTAGACCAGACGGTTTCTGATGCTCAATTTTAACCTGCTGGCAAATCAAACAAGTCTGGATAAATCGAGTAATTTCCTTCTTCATGTTCTCCCACCAGTGCGGACTCTTCAAATCTTGGTATATTTTATTCCCTCCAAGATGTACCATATACCTAGAACGATGGGATTTCTCCAAAATATTTCTTTTTAACCCTTCATCCTTTGGTACTACTATGTGATTTCGAAATCTTAGTACACAATTTATTCCCAAATTAAAATTCGACTTTTCTTCCTTATTAACTCTTTTCACCCACTTTTGCACCTCTGAATCCTTCTCTTGTGCCTCCTCGATACGATCTAGTAAAACGGATTTCACGACAATGTTCCCAAGGATTACCTTTCTTGGTTCAAGATGAGAGTTCCAAATACTAATCTCTTCTAACAAGTGTAATTTTTTAATCATCAATCCTGCTACTTGCACTTGAAGATTCAAAGCAGCAGCTACCACATTAATTTTCCTGGGGTGATAATTAATCGTGCAATCATATTTTTCTAAAAATTTCACCCATCTGCGTTGTTTAAAATTCAACTCTTTTTGGAAAAACAGTAATTAAAACTCTTGTGGTCCGTAAAAATCTCACATGTCACCCCATATAGGTAATGTCTTCACTTTTTCAATGCAAACACTGCAGCCGCTAACTCCAAATCATGAGTTGGATAATTCTTCTCGTGAGATTTTAATTTCCTAGAGGCATACGCAATCACCTTTTCATTTTGCATCAATACACACCCCAAGTTTTCTTTTGAAGCATCTGTATAAACCATAAAACTATCCTTTCTATTAGGTAAAGCTAATACAGGTGTCCTTGTCAAACATTATTTTAACTCTTGAAAACTTTTTTCACACTTAAAACTCCATATAAACTTTTCACTTTTCTTAGTCAACTCAGTCATAGGTCCCACAATCTTAAAAATTTTTTTGATAAATCTCTGGTAATACCCTACTAACCCTAAGAATCTTCAAATTTCAGTAGAATTTTCCGGTTGCTTCTACTTAGATACTGCTTCAACTTTGGTCAAATCCATCTTAATTCCGTTCTTAGAGATTATATGACCTAAGAAAGTTACTTCCTTCAATCAAAATTCACATTTGCTAAACTTAACATACAACTGATGTTCTCTCAAGATTTGGAAAATAATTTTCAAATGTTTCTCATGATCCTACAGAGTCTTAAAATACACCAGTATACCGTCAATAAATACCACTACAAACTGATTCAGATAAGATTTAAAGATTCGATGCATTAAATCCATAAAAGCTACAGGAGCATTAGTCAATCCGAACGGCATCACTGCGAACTCAAAGTGTCCGCACCTTGAGTTAAAGGCAGTTTTAGATATATCTTTTTCCGAAATGCTCAACTGATATAACCCTACCTGAGATTCAACTTTGAGAATACTACCGCCCCTTGTAATTGGTCAAACAATTTATCAATGTGGGATAAAAGGTACTTATTTTTTATGGTAACATCATTCAAGTCTCGGTAATCAATACACAACTATAAACTACCATCTTTCTTCTTAATAAACAACACCGGAGCTCCCCACGGTGAATCATTTTCTTTTATAAAGTCTCGCTCTAACAAATCCTGTAATTGCAATATCAACTCTTTCAATTCAATTGCAGTCATTCTATAAGGCGTTTTAGAGATAAGTGCTACCCCTGAAATTACATCAATTTTAAAGTTATCTCTCTTTCAGGGGGCAAAGATTCTAGTTTCTCAGGAAAAATATTTGGATACTCCTTTACTATTGGCATATCTTCCAACCTTACCTTATCACTAAGAATATTTATAAGAAAAGTCAAATATCCTTGAACTCCCTTACTCAACATCTTTCTAGCTCGAATTCCTGAAATAAGGGCAGATGAGACTAGTCTACCCCTTACGTCCAATTTTAGGGTTGCCTTTCCTGGAATACACAATTCTACCATTTTTGTCTTACAATTCAACTGATCATGGTAACGAGCTAACCAGTCCATTCTTAGGATGACATCATACCCCTTAATAGCTAAACTCATCAGATAGGTGTAGACACCAAATTTTGAATAATTTTATGTGGCATCTATTTCATGATTGTTTGCATTCGTTGTTTACTTTTAGTTTTAATTTTTAGTTTTAGCTTTTAAGTTTAGAATTAGCGTAGAGTTTTTAGAGTAAAGAAAAGGAAAAAATCAAAAATATGTTGTTTTTATTCAATGCTTTCTTGAAAAGAAAAATTCAAAAAAATAGGCTTTAGTTGGATTGGAAAAATGAAAAAAAGAGAAAGAGGAAAAGGAAAAACCACTCACAAAAAATATTTTTTTTAAAATTAAAATTCAAGTTTAATGTTTTTGTTATTATTTTGTTTCAAATAATGCTTTGGAAAAAAAAGAAGAAGAAAAAAAAGGAAAATTTGTTCACAAAAAATATGTTTATTTCTTTAAATTCAATCTTTGGGCACTTTAGTTATTTTTATTAAGTTATTTTGGGAAAAATGAAAAAATGAAACAAAAAGAGATGGAAAAATGGTCATTTTTGTTGTTTTTAGTTGTTTAGTTTTTAAATTATTTTCGTTATTATTATTGTTATTATTACCTGGTTTTTGGCAATTTATTATTATTTATATTATTAAGTTCAGTTTTAAAACAAAAAAAAAAAAAAAGAGAGAAACGCGACTTGCAAGCTGCGTTTTTGCAGCTTGCAAGAGAGGGCCTCGGTGAGCCCCTTGGGCTGCAATATTTGAAGAGATTGCTGAGTGTTTTAGGGTTGAACTGGGATATAAATAGAAAAGAAAAAAGCCAGCCGCAAGAGCTAAGAGAGTCGGGGGGGCTTCAGGAGAGCTAACGAAAAAGAAAAACTGCAGAGCTAGGGGAAGCTAAGAGTGACGGGGTTGGAGGAGAGAAAAGCTGAGCAAGATGGAGTCTTGGGGCTGGAGGAGAAACACAGGCAAAAGAAAAGGAACCTACCGAGGGAATAGAGTGGGGGCGGAAAGGAAAATCTGGGCCAAATAGAGAGAGACCAAAGAGAGAGTAAAAACTGAGGAGAAGATAGAGAGCTTTTGGAGAGTAAACCAACGGGGAGGAGATTCAAAGGAAAAAACAGCAAAAGAAAAAGCTAAGGACGAACGGAGGGAAACCAGAAATCAGTGAGAGAAAGAGAGAAAGGCCGCAAGAAAGGAGATAAAGGGGAGGGTTTTGGAAGAGAGCATCGACGGGCTGAAAGAAAATTGAGCAAGGGTTTTGGGGACTGAGGAAAGAGTTACGAGAAAAAGAGGGAAGACAAGAGAGAGTGACGGGATAGAGATTGAGAAGCGGCAAAAGGAAGGAAATCAGAACAAAGGGGGGGTTGAAGAAAAGGAAGTAGCAACTGGGGAGAGCTAGGAGAATCTGAGAGCAAGGAAAAAGAAAGCCAAAGGGAAAGCAGCGTAAGAAAGGACCAGGGGGAAAAGGACGATTCTGAGGAGAACCAAAGAAAGAGCCCAACCTCATCATCGGCTCTGATCTGTATCAAGAAACCAGCAAGAGCTACGTGAGTATCGAGATTTATCTTACTGAAATTTTTAGTTCTTTCTGCCCACTTTCTGTTTCATGTCCCCAAGATTCTGTTTTCTTTGTTTATGAATGGAAAATCAAGTCTAGTGAATATGCATAAGCTGTGTTTTGAATTTGTTTCTGTGAAAATTGGGGAATCGAAAAAAAGGCAGTCAGCTTTACATTTTTCGGTACCAGAAATTTGATGAACGTGGTCCATGTTTCTGATTAGATTTTCTGATTGCAAACCTGTGAATCAAAAAGCTGGTAGCTTGCTCGTTTGTTTTCTCTTTTGTTTGAAGCTGAATGAGTGAGGCCGACGGGTTGCAAGTATGAGTCTTTGCATCGTGTTTGTTCCTTTGATTTGGAGTCTTGGGCTGCTGTCTTGAATTTTTTGGGTCTGAAGTTAGTTAGATGTCCGTATTGCTGACTTTGATTGGAGTTTAAGAAGCTTATTTGGTTGTTTTCTTGCACGTATGAAAGCTGAGATTGCACAGGAAGGCACCCATGATTGAGTTCAAATTGCTGGTTTCATAGCTGTCTTTTGTTTACACATGTGAAGCATTAGAGACTGGGGTAGCTTGCATGTGATATTTCGGTTTGTCAAAGCTGTTGACTTGCAGTTTTTGAAGATCTTCTTGCCTGTTTTAAGTTTGTGTCAATTTGAGATAATGTGTATAAAATCTGTCACCAATAATCTTGAAACCTTTGGCTTTGTTGTAGCAGTGTTCGTTCCTTCAAGAAAAGTGTTTAAATATGTCCATAGTTTTTGCATCGGTCCTGCCTGTGTGTTTTGCTGGCTTTGGTTCCCCAGTTCTAGCATGCTTGATTCTTGGTGATTACCTTGCCATTGTTCTTTTCCTGTCATGTTTTGAAACAAAAGCATCAGCTGCACAATTTGGCCTGGGGTGTCCTGTCTTTGCGATTGAAATTTGGGAAGAATCAGCCTAGGGAGGTTGCAGCAGATTTGTTGCGAAAGACTCATTTATTTGAACGTCGAATTTCTGGTTTAGATGTTTGGGAATCATAATTTTGTTGTTTGGATCGGAAAGCTGGCTGTGTTTCACATCTGATGAACCCCTCACAAAGCATAGCTAATGGTGACTTGAAAATTGCAGCACCTTGTTCCTTTCTTTGGCTGATACGTCTTGTATATTTATAGTTGCCAATCCAGATTTTCTGTTTTAATCTTGTAACGAAAATGGTACTCGAATTGGTTGATGATTAGGAATGATGTTTTGTGGTTGTTGATGTTTGTTGGATAGGTAATGAATCATTGCAGAATTTTTAGAACTCCATAACCGAAGAGTTGTTGCAGGCAATGTTTACGTAGCTTTGCATGATTTTGCATGAAACTATTTTTTGAAAATTTCACTTCAACCCCCCCAAATCCCCTCTTGATTTACTAAGGCCCAATTACATTCAAATGCTTGCAATTAGATCCTAGGATAGTTGCAATTGGAACCGTGGCTTGACTTTTTCTTTGCTATTTGACCTTTTAAAGTTCCTTAAATGTTTTGATTGGGCTTGCATGGTTGATTAATTTTCGCAATTGGATCTCTGTTGTGTGATTGTGCCTTGATATGTTTTTTCATGTGAATTGTGGACAATGTTAATAGATTTTTAGGATCAAATCATGAAAGTTTGGTAACTTGGAAGCATTGGTGGTCTTGATTTTGTTTGTTTTAAATTTTGCTTAGCTAATCTTGTTTCTAAAACTTTAAATAATTTTCCATTTCTTCCTTTCGTGATTTTTTTGCACTTGATTGCGATAGATTCCACCTTCAGCGTTTCAATTTAGCACTCCAATTTAGATTCTTGAGACTTTTTATTTGAGACCGAGTTTTGCTTGCACGTGCATGGTCTATTCCATATTTAATTTTCGTTTCATGCTTAATTTCCATTTGTTTGTGTTTAATGGTTGTTTTATGTGATTATTTGATAATTTAAGTGGTACCTTGACCTGTTTATTATTTTGGAGGGTAAGTTAGTAATTTCACTACGTTAGGGCGTCGCTTCAAGGGAGGTACACGCTATCCCTCATTTGCACTACATTTGACCTTACGTGCTCCTACGTGTTATGTGAATATGCATGCCTACTCCGCTTTCCTTACTTCCTTGCATGCATTTATTTGCTTTTACTTTTATTTAAGTTTTATGGGGTATGTGTACACCTCTTGGCTTGTAATAGATAGGGCTCGGAGAGCATCTTGTCCATTTCCCCTTCCCCTTTATGCTTTTATGGGGTATGTGTACACCTCTTGGCTTGTAATAGATAGGGCTCGGAGAGCATCTGGTCCACTTCCCCTTCCCCTTGCTTGCTTGTTTTTGTTGCTACATGTTTAATTGCTTTATTAGGCTCTTGCATCTAGTCGAGCATGCTAAATGCTATGTGCTATGTGTTTACGAGTATTTTGGCATGTCTACTTGCTTTCATAGCCATGAATGAATGGAATGGATGAATGTACGTTTCCGCTAGTCCAACGCTAGTCGGAATTCATAGAATGGGCTAGTCCAACGCTAGTCGGAATTCATAGAATGGGCTAGTCCAACGCTAGACCCTTAGGGATTTCCCCTCATTAGCATATCATTTGCTTGTTCACCACATATCATGCATTTTTCTTAGTTTTATCACTTGGCATGCTCCTCGAACCCCCTTTCCCTTCATTTTAGGATTTTTGCATATCATGATAGTTGTAGGGTCCATTTGCTTGAGGGTCCCCTTCTGATGAGGAAAACGAGCGAGTGTGGCTATTCTATAGCCTTAGCACGCTAGTTTTGCCTTCTAATCAAAGGGAAAATCAAAGTCGGAAAGTTAGGAGTCAACCCCCGTACCCGTCTTGCTTGCATTCCCTAGGCTCATGCATTCTACATTCACTCTATCATTCTATACCCTCATTACACTTTTATTTTCTCCTCCTACACCATGCCTTCATATCCCTTCCACTTGCACACAAACACTTGGATTTTTAAATTCTTTCATACAATTTCACACTTGCACGCTTGAATCTCATTTGCATTAATCGACCTCTATGAGGTTTTCCTTCGTTGGCCGCCACAATTCATGTGGTTTGGGACCAAAAGCCTCACGAGAGACATCGTAGAATTTAGGATTGCATTTTCCTTTTCGTTTTGCATTCATATAGTCATATCCAACGTGCGAACATATATTGGGTAGAAAATTAGGAAAGGTAAGGTTAAGTCGCGCAACTAGCCTTGGCTAGGTCAAAGGGGTGCCTTGGATTCTATCCTTGCCTTCCCCTTTGTCAAACGTGACCCCCGAACCTTTTTCTTTGGCTTACGTGGACTAGGAGTCGTTTTAAAAAGGGTTTTACTACTTTGTCTTTAAAAAATACTTTTTGGGTGACTTGGTACACCGCAAATCTATACCAAGTGGCGACTCCGTTTTCATATTTAAAAAACCCTTTTTAAAATTTCATTTGGCCAAATCGTCGCTTTCCAAAGTCCCATGGCCTTTTTACTTTTCATTTTGCACACGTTCACACCACACTTCACACACACATCACTCACACACACATTTCACATATCATTTTTTCATTCGAAAAGTGGGGCGCGACAGTTGGCGACTCCATTGGGGACTTCCTAAGTGGGTCCGAGCATTTGACTTAGCCATTCGTTTCCTTTTTCTACCCTTTTTATGCATTGCATTTGGATATTAGGGTTGCATTTTTTGTTTTAAGGACTTTTTCGCATCGCGCGCGTATCAAACATTTCCCTCACTCACGTACGTGTGATTGGTTGATTGGATGTTGTTTATTTGTTTATCTCGCGCTTGCATTGCATTTGGGAGGGGGTGTGTCACCTTTAGAGCCTCGCGTGGTTCTCAACCCCTTCCCTCAAATTAGGGGAACACTTCATACGTGCATATTTATTTGCTTTATCCCATTTTATTTGTATTTTCGTGGGCGCCATCCCACACCGCCTTGTAGGATTAGGATCGATTGCCTTGGGTAGGCGGCTGGTGTGCTCTGCGCCCATAGCGCTACCTAAGGGATCACTCGAGCCACCGATCGAAGGCCCTGGGAGTGATGACCCTTCGCCTTTAGGTCTGAAGGCTTGGGAGCCGAAGCTTTATCGAGTCTAGGCATTAGTGAACCCCAGCCTCATGCATCCATATTAGAATAACCTAGGGTAGAGTCGGCCTCACCCTTTATAAGCACATTAGGCACGAGGGAAGGGGTTCTCCCCCTTTTACTCGCTTTATTGTATTTCTTTTCTTAATTGCTCCCAATGTGTTATGTGTACTATCAATTGCACTAACCATTTCTTTGTTTCTTGGCTTGCATTCATATGCCTTAGCGATAAGAGGCCCTTTTGGCACTCTTTTAGTGACTCACCCACTAGATAGCTCACATGTTTGAATTTCAGTCTTTGCACTTACTTTTCAATAAGTACATTTCATTTTAGACCTTTTCCCCCCGTTGCATTATTTATATCCTTTAGGCCATGTTTGTCACATGTTTATATCGCTTTAATAAAATGGCATCATGCATAAACCCTAGAAAGGGAATGCCATTTAGGGGATCCCGTGTTAGGAATGAACCACCCCATGTCTCGGATATATAATCCGAATGAGACTTGCACGTTTACCTTTCGCGTACCATCCGAAGGGGTAGTGCACAAGGTAAGGTAAAGATCCAATCATTTTCATGGAGCAATTTTTGGAATATGAGCATCTAATAATCACTTTTTGGCCATTTTCTCAAAATTGGTAAAATTCCCTTGCGTAAAAGGATATATTCGAAGAATATTCACAAATGATTCCTCATTGTTGAGACGATAAATATAGAGGCCAAATTTTGATTTTAGAGGCTCATAGACCAAGGCATTGTAATGATTTCTTGAAACCACCCAGTGGGCGAATAATTCAATCGATTTTTGAACAAATCAACCATCTTATCCAATCCATTTTTTTTTCAATTCATTCAATTTTAGAACAATTTAATCATTTTTGAATAAATTCATTTCATCCAATTCATTTGACCAATTTACCCTTTTTAGGGTCATTCGGTCGATTTTGAATAAATTATCAAGTCATTTGATCAATTTACCCTTTCTAGGGTCATCCGGTCGTTTTTGAATAAATCGTCAATTCATTTGACTAATTTACCCTTTTTAGGGTCATTCGGCTGATTTTTGAATCAATCATTCATTTGGCCAATTTACCCCTTTTTAGGGCAACCGAGCCGATTTTGAATAAATCAAGTTTCGTTCAATCTATTTGATCAATTTACCCTTTTTTTTAGGGTGCTCTGATTAATTTTGAAATTTCTTTGAATTCATTTGACCTGCTTCCCTTTTAGGGTAATTTGGTCGGTTTTAAATAAATTGTCAACTTCATTCAATCCATTTGCCCTATTGGGGTATTCATTGTCAAATTCCAAATTGGGAAATCTAGTCAATTTTGAAGAAAACCATCCATTGTATCCAACTATTTAATCAGCTGGGTTTTTGACTCATGCTTCACTGAGGAAATTTGTCAACGAATTCCAGTCTCTTCGATAGGAGTTCGTCAAGGTCAAACCCATGCGTTTTGCAACTCAAAGGTGATCAATCTATTCGGACGTTGTCCTCATTTTGACAAATCTCTCGTCACTCCAATGGCCAAATTTTTCAAATTATTTCTCACTCAATGAGTTGATCAGATCCATCAGGTATTGTATAGTGCCTGCTCTGGAGGACTGCATTTTCATGATAGGCCTACCCTTGGCACAAAAGGGTTCCCCCATAGGACATGCATCCGAATTTTTTGGATAGTTACTAACTCTTGCCTTTTTCTTTTCCTTTCCTTTATTTTCTTTGGAATAATTGAGCGAGAGTTGAATCTAAAGACAATTCCTTTTAAAATTCTCAGGTAATATTTAAACATAACTTCTCGTCGAAGCCCCATCATAACGTGATCCCGTAGTCAAGCCCAAAAGAATCGTGTAGACATGAGTACTCGGCCAGGATCGTCTGATATGACCGCTGCAACTACCCAGCCGGAAGCCACAAGTCCCGGGATTCAGTTGACTGAATTACTCGCCAAATTTGGGGAAATGGCATCTGAAATGGCAACCCAAAGGAAGTTGATTGATGAGCTAATCAGCAGCGGAGTTCAACCTGAACCTGTACCTGACAGGCAGCCAGAGCCAGAATCATTTGTCATCCCTTCAACTCAAGTCACTGATACTCCATCATTCCCTATTCCACCCGAGGAAACTTTCGCCTATCCCACCACAAATTTGCCATACGCCTACCCTCCTAATCCTTCATCTTTTCTTACTCGCAGGCAAGGCTCACAACCCCAAGCTACTTCAAATATATCACCTGAGTTACATACCTTTTATTACCCTGCTGCTGAACCTTTCCTACCAGACCACACTGTTCAAACCAAGCCAGAAATGGGGGAATCTTCCACTCCCGTTGATATGAAGCTGCTCAAGCGCCTTGACCGCTTTGATGAGTTTATGGGGAAAAGTCAGGGGTTGAACAAGCAAGGAGTTTTGGATTACGATAAGTTTTGCCTTTTGCCGAATGTGCGGTTGCCTGAGAGGTTCAAAACCCCTAAATTTAACAAGTATGATAGGACGGGTAATGTCTCTGCCCTCGAATCACAGTTGGATGCTTTACAAGGACAAAGGAGTAGTGGGAAAAAGCAACAATTCCAAAAGAAAGAGGGGGAAATTGTTTTTGTCTGGGATCGAAACCGTGTCCCAAAATCCAGGCCTAGACAACACCCTACCTACTCAAACTCCTACCCTTATCATTCGAACCCTCATCCTGTTCATCACCCTAATACCACTCAACCTCGTCCTCGCCCTAAATACACCAACTCGTCTATAGCCCCTTTTCAAATATCTCAGCCTAACTTCCAACAAGTTCGACCCCTACCTCCCTACAATCAACAATTTTCTCCACCAAACAGACCTACCTACAACTATCCCCAACACACTAAAACTTACAATCAAAGCCGTACCCGAACATTCACCAACCTAGGCAGGCCTCTGGACCAATTGTATGAACAATTAAAGGCTGCTGGTAGAATTGGCATAATTCTCCCTCCAACTTACTCTCATGGCGTCCCTGCCGGATACAATCCTCAGTACACTTGCGCCTATCATTCGGGAGCACCCGGCCACCCAACCACTGATTGTAGAGCACTTAAGCACAAGGTGCAAGATATGATTGAAGCAGGAGAGATTGTAATTAGAAGAAAAGAGGCACAAGCGCCAAATGTGGATAAGAACCCCCTGCCAGAGTACGATAACACCATTGGGGTTATTATGGACCATACGGAATTTAAGGAGCCTGCTAAAAACTCATCAAGTGAGGCTGAAGTGTTTGGAAATGATGCAGAATTTCCCGATATCCCTGAGGGATCAATTTCCAATTGGACAGCCGAATTTCTACCCATTCAAAAGGAGTTTCGGTAAACCTAAAGGGGTTTGTCATTCATGCGAATTCATGAGGAAAAAACTTTTGCATCTGTAATTAGCTAATGAAAACATCTTTACTTTTGACTAAAATTTGCGCATGTAAATATTTTTTTTAAGTTTTATTTCATTTGCTTTCAATCAAAGGTTTTATGAAAATGCACAAGTCATTCTTGTCAGGTTATTTTGTTTATTCGTTTGTTTCGGTCATATTGCTTGTTCATTTGTTTGTTGTATATTGGTTTGCTTATTATTCCAAATTCGTTAATTCTTTCCAATGACCAAAGATAACATTATTTGACCCTTTGGATATCACTTTTCTGGAATTCAATAATGGCAATCTCTATCTCACTCACGACTTGAGAATTTTGGAACCCAAATTTCAAAGCAAGAGTGATAATGAGAAAGTATTTGATTCTTTTTCAAAAAAATCTTGAACAAAAAGAGGAGAAATTCGAACCAAACCTAGAAGCCATAGCAATTGTTCACATTGGCACTGAGAATAAGGTCAAAAGGACATAAATCAGCATTCGTTTGAACAAAAGCAGAAAAGGAGATGATTAAGAGTTTGACTATGTGTCAAGGTGTACAGATGGTTGGAGGCAGTCTCGTTTGCAGTAGCAGAAATTCTATCTTTGCACATTCTAATGGGAGTTCAGCCGAGAATGCCGTTTGTCATGAAATGTTACAAACACGCCTGGCCTGAGCCTACGACGAGAAGTTTCATCAGCATACATTTTGAGGAAGGCGACAAAGCACTCAAGCGAACTTTGCCAATACAAGACGAAGGCAGAGACAAATTCGCCCAAAATCAGAAAGGGCCGTTCGTTGTCCAAAAGGTATTACCTGGCGGAATACTCATGCAAATGGATGGTCGAACATTCCCTCAACCCATCAAATCAGATATGTGCAAGAAGATTTTCATTTGATCATGCAAATTTTCCTTAGAAATTCATGCAAATGGCGAAATGCAAGTCAGGCCCTCTTCTTTTACATTTAAAGCATTTTATCCCTACTTGTCCCCTTTGAGCCATCAGAATTGACAAATTTTCGTTTGGCAGCCCCTGAGAATTGCCAACCCCACACTGGGGCAAATTCATTTTGAAAAGAGATGATTGGAAAGGAAAGAAAAACCCCATACTGGGGCAAATTTATCTTGGAGAAAAGATGAAAAGGGAAAAAGAACCCCACACTGGGGCAAATTTAGTTTTTGAAAAAAAAATGCAAAAGTAAGAAGAATGCAATGAAGAAAATGCAAAGGGAAAAATCCAATCAAACTGGGGCAAAATTTTCCTCAGTTTTGTTCAAAATTTGGAGATGATCTCAAAATGATGCAATCTCAGGTTATTTCACACCTCTCATCAGATTTGCTTTCAAGCCTCAACTTTTCTTGAAAACACCCCACCTGACCTCATTACAAAAGCCCAAAGTCCTGGCTTTCGTCACTTGTTGTATTTCTATTAGGAATTTTGCTAATCAACTGGCAAGTGATGTTCATAAGGCCTTCGCCTAATCTTACAAGGGAAGTGCATTTTACTGATGCCTGAAATCTCTAACTCACATTTCTGAGTCGATCATGGTCGAGATATTTCATTTTTTTTTTAGGGTGAAAACCCGAAAGGGCGCCAAGGCAAGTTTTTTGCAACGAGCAAGCACGAGGAGGAACAGCTGGTGACTTGGTTCATTTGGATTTCTTCTCAGTTTTGTCATACTTCTGCCAATATTAAATTCCAGAACAAAGATATCCAGAGATTTGAATATGACATCAGTTGGCCAAAATTGTGTCGCTTTGTAAAAATATTCTTTTCCAAATACATTCTTATGAAATTCATCTTTCCTCATTTACTTGTATTCATGGCATTTTTGGATGTGTTTTACATTCTTTGACATATTCATTCCATGCATAACATAGGAAATCATTTTGCATTGATTTTTCATGCATCATTCTTTTACCATTGGATTCGGATGAATGATAAACCCTAAGGTTTGTGCAAGAATATGGGATTCAATCATCTTTTAAAGTGAGTAAAATGCAACCAAGCTGCTACATGGATTTAGTGACATGTAAATGCGCACTTTATTGGTCTCCGGAATCGAAAGGTTTCAAAATTACAAATTCAACCAAGGCAGATGCCGCAGCAAAAGTTGGCAAAGGCATCAAAAGACTCATGTTTACACGATTCTCAAGGCAAGCCGGATCGAATGATGGTGGCAAGTCCATTATTTCTTCTTGTCTTGCAGGAACGTTGCATTTACAAACACAAACAACCACACTTCTTTTAGCACCTGAATCGACGTCAGAAAAGTTCCCCAGTAAGCAGAGACGGAGTGATAATTTGGCAAAGATTGGGTCATAAGGAACAACATCAGCTATCGATTCCAGCCATAAAGATTCAAATCTCCCTCTTGGTACAAGAGTTTGAACTACTCTCAGGTAAGAACTCAATTCATTGTTTAAAAATCCCGTGGGTCTATCCCAATTTTACATTTCTGTTCGGGTCTATCCCAAATTTAAATTTCTGTTCGGGTCTATCCCAAATTTAAATTTCTGTTCGGGTCTATCCCGTGGGTCTATCCCAATTTTAAATTTCTGTCCGGGTCTATCCCGTGGGTCTATCCCAATTTTAAATTTCTGTCCGGGTCTATCCCGTGGGTCTATCCCAAATTTTACATTCCTGTCCGGGTCTATCCCGTGGGTCTATCCCAATTATATCCCAAATTTTACATTCCTGTCCGGGTCTATCCCGTGGGTCTATCCCAATTTTACAATTTCTGTTCGGGTCTATCCCGTGGGTCTATTCCAAATTTAAATTTCTGTTCGGGTCTATCCCGTGGGTCTATCCCAATTTTACAATTTCTGTTCGGGTCTATCCCGTGGGTCTATCCCAAATTTAAATTTCTGTTCGGGTCTATCCCGTGGGTCTATCCCAATTTAAATCTCTGTTATCCGTGGGTCTATCCAATTTAAATTCGTTCGGGTCTATCCCAAATTTAAATTTCTGTTCGGGTCTATCCCGTGGGTCTATCCCAATTTTAAATTTCTGTTCGGGTCTATCCCGTGGGTCTATCCCAATTTTACATTTCTGTCCGGGTCTATCCCAATTTTAAATTTCTGTCCGGGTCTATCCCATGGGTCTATCCCAAATTTAAAATTTCCTGTCTGGGGTCAATCCCCATCGTTTGAGTAATTCGCAGCCGAAGAATGCAAGTAGATATTTGGTGTCTATTTCTTTGTCTCAAGTTTTTTCAAAACTCAGACAAAGAGGGGCAAACTGTAGACACCAAATTTTGAATAATTTTATGTGGCATCTATTTCATGATTGTTTGCATTCGTTGTTTACTTTTAGTTTTAATTTTTAGTTTTAGCTTTTAAGTTTAGAATTAGCGTAGAGTTTTTAGAGCAAAGAAAAGGAAAAAATCAAAAATATGTTGTTTTTATTCAATGCTTTCTTGAAAAGAAAAATTCAAAAAATAGGCTTTAGTTGGATTGGAAAAATGAAAAAAAGAGAAAGAGGAAAAGGAAAAACCACTCACAAAAAATATTTTTTTTAAAATTAAAATTCAAGTTTAATGTTTTTGTTATTATTTTGTTTCAAATAATGCTTTGGAAAAAAAAGAAGAAGAAAAAAAAGGAAAATTTGTTCACAAAAAATATGTTTATTTCTTTAAATTCAATCTTTGGGCACTTTAGTTATTTTTATTAAGTTATTTTGGGAAAAATGAAAAAATGAAACAAAAAGAGATGGAAAAATGGTCATTTTTGTTGTTTTTAGTTGTTTAGTTTTTAAATTATTTTCGTTATTATTATTGTTATTATTACCTGGTTTTTGGCAATTATTATTATTATTATTATTTATATTATTAAGTTCAGTTTTAAAAAAAAAAAAAAAAAAAAGAGAGAAACGCGACTTGCAAGCTGCGTTTTTGCAGCTTGCAAGAGAGGGCCTCGGTGAGCCCCTTGGGCTGCAATATTTGAAGAGATTGCTGAGTGTTTTAGGGTTGAACTGGGATATAAATAGAAAAGAAAAAAGCCAGCCGCAAGAGCTAAGAGAGTCGGGGGGGCTTCAGGAGAGCTAACGAAAAAGAAAAACTGCAGAGCTAGGGGAAGCTAAGAGTGACGGGGTTGGAGGAGAGAAAAGCTGAGCAAGATGGAGTCTTGGGGCTGGAGGAGAAACACAGGCAAAAGAAAAGGAACCTACCGAGGGAATAGAGTGGGGGCGGAAAGGAAAATCTGGGCCAAATAGAGAGAGACCAAAGAGAGAGTAAAAACTGAGGAGAAGATAGAGAGCTTTTGGAGAGTAAACCAACGGGGAGGAGATTCAAAGGAAAAAACAGCAAAAGAAAAAGCTAAGGACGAACGGAGGGAAACCAGAAATCAGTGAGAGAAAGAGAGAAAGGCCGCAAGAAAGGAGATAAAGGGGAGGGTTTTGGAAGAGAGCATCGACGGGCTGAAAGAAAATTGAGCAAGGGTTTTGGGGACTGAGGAAAGAGTTACGAGAAAAAGAGGGAAGACAAGAGAGAGTGACGGGATAGAGATTGAGAAGCGGCAAAAGGAAGGAAATCAGAACAAAGGGGGGGTTGAAGAAAAGGAAGTAGCAACTGGGGAGAGCTAGGAGAATCTGAGAGCAAGGAAAAAGAAAGCCAAAGGGAAAGCAGCGTAAGAAAGGACCAGGGGGAAAAGGACGATTCTGAGGAGAACCAAAGAAAGAGCCCAACCTCATCATCGGCTCTGATCTGTATCAAGAAACCAGCAAGAGCTACGTGAGTATCGAGATTTATCTTACTGAAATTTTTAGTTCTTTCTGCCCACTTTCTGTTTCATGTCCCCAAGATTCTGTTTTCTTTGTTTATGAATGGAAAATCAAGTCTAGTGAATATGCATAAGCTGTGTTTTGAATTTGTTTCTGTGAAAATTGGGGAATCGAAAAAAAGGCAGTCAGCTTTACATTTTTCGGTACCAGAAATTTGATGAACGTGGTCCATGTTTCTGATTAGATTTTCTGATTGCAAACCTGTGAATCAAAAAGCTGGTAGCTTGCTCGTTTGTTTTCTCTTTTGTTTGAAGCTGAATGAGTGAGGCCGACGGGTTGCAAGTATGAGTCTTTGCATCGTGTTTGTTCCTTTGATTTGGAGTCTTGGGCTGCTGTCTTGAATTTTTTGGGTCTGAAGTTAGTTAGATGTCCGTATTGCTGACTTTGATTGGAGTTTAAGAAGCTTATTTGGTTGTTTTCTTGCACGTATGAAAGCTGAGATTGCACAGGAAGGCACCCATGATTGAGTTCAAATTGCTGGTTTCATAGCTGTCTTTTGTTTACACATGTGAAGCATTAGAGACTGGGGTAGCTTGCATGTGATATTTCGGTTTGTCAAAGCTGTTGACTTGCAGTTTTTGAAGATCTTCTTGCCTGTTTTAAGTTTGTGTCAATTTGAGATAATGTGTATAAAATCTGTCACCAATAATCTTGAAACCTTTGGCTTTGTTGTAGCAGTGTTCGTTCCTTCAAGAAAAGTGTTTAAATATGTCCATAGTTTTTGCATCGGTCCTGCCTGTGTGTTTTGCTGGCTTTGGTTCCCCAGTTCTAGCATGCTTGATTCTTGGTGATTACCTTGAGAAATTTCTAAAATTGTGATGAAAAAAAAAAGTTATTCTACAAAGGGGGTAATTTTTGAAGTTGTTTCCAAACTTGTGATCTTCGCATTTGTGAAATGCGAGTTCACATACTTCGCATTTCACAAATGCGAGGTAGGTATTTCCAAAAAAAAAGAAAAACAAGATCGCATTTTCCAAATGCGAGCTTGTAAGCTCGCATTTGGAGAATGCGAGATTGAGTACCTCGCATTTAAGAAATGCGAGGTACTCTCAATTTGAAACCAATCAGACAGACACCATGAAATTATCAATGCGAGGTACTCACTCTCCCTTCACTCTCTCCGTGCAGCCCTCCTCACTCTCAAAATTATCTTGGTCACCGCTTTGTCATCGGAAATCTTTCGATTAAATGGCCAAAATGTTCAATTTTAAGTGTCTAATTCTTCCATTACATAAAATGTTATATGTATATTGGAAAAGTTTAGTCCTTATTTGACTTGGAATTAGTCATTATGCAATTAGGATTTTTATATTTTAGAAAGTATATTTGGCTAAATAAGGAAAATTATGCTTAGAATTTTGCATGGTGTCTTTAGTATATTTGGCACAGCCATTTTCCTTTACCTTTCTCACAACTTTTTCAGTTATTTTGAGGGACATAAATCGGCAATAGAGCTGGTGGATGAAATGTTGTCTACTTTGGGTTTGCTGGCAGGGTGTTTAGTCCACTTTTAAGGGGAGATTCTGTCAAAATTTTTTCAAAAGAAAAAAAAATATATTAATCATAATAAATTACAATAAACAAATAAAATTCTTGTCAAATATCTTGCATTTGCTAAATGCGAAGACCCCATAGATAGAAAACCATATGCAAAATGCCCCCTTTGTAGAATTTTTTTTAAAATCATCATAATTTTAAAATTTTGCGTGAGGATTCTATCCATCACACTCACCGTGGCAAAAATCTGCGAGAAGCCTAAATTCTGGTAAGTGTGGATAAAAAGAAATCCTGAAAGGGGACAACAATATTATTTTTAGATCAAACTAAGCAATTTAACCATTTGGGGTATCATCATAAGAAATTCGACATTTTGAATGAAATTTTCTGGGATTTTCTTGTTTTGATACTTTGATCTTGGGTCGTTATTGTATTGCTGATATCATTTTAAATTGATTCACAATTCAATGGGGTTTTCATTACATGGCTCGTACATTGCACGGTTGGCAACTAGTAATTTTCCAAAAAGGAAGATGAAAGGACAAAAAAAAAAAGAGGTAAAATATGGAAAGTGCTCTGAAATCAGTATTAGGCCTCTGGACATGCGATCGTTTGTTAACAAAATGGGAGGTCACTGACCTCGCATTTGTTAAATGCGAGGTCTAAGTGACCTCGCATTTATTAGATGCGAGGTAACGGACCTCGCATTTAACAAATGCGAGGTATGGTTTTTTTTTTGTTTTTTTTTTTGGATTTTGTTGATCGAAAATTCAAGGAGACTTCGCATTCATCAAATGCGAGCTCATGGAGCTCGCATTTGCTGAATGCGAAGACCCCTTGGACAGAATCCCATGTTCAAAATGCCTCCTTTGTAGAATTTTTTTAAAATTCATCATAATTTTAGAAATTTCTCGATTACCTTGCCATTGTTCTTTTCCTGTCATGTTTTGAAACAAAAGCATCAGCTGCACAATTTGGCCTGGGGTGTCCTGTCTTTGCGATTGAAATTTGGGAAGAATCAGCCTAGGGAGGTTGCAGCAGATTTGTTGCGAAAGACTCATTTATTTGAACGTCGAATTTCTGGTTTAGATGTTTGGGAATCATAATTTTGTTGTTTGGATCGGAAAGCTGGCTGTGTTTCACATCTGATGAACCCCTCACAAAGCATAGCTAATGGTGACTTGAAAATTGCAGCACCTTGTTCCTTTCTTTGGCTGATACGTCTTGTATATTTATAGTTGCCAATCCAGATTTTCTGTTTTAATCTTGTAACGAAAATGGTACTCGAATTGGTTGATGATTAGGAATGATGTTTTGTGGTTGTTGATGTTTGTTGGATAGGTAATGAATCATTGCAGAATTTTTAGAACTCCATAACCGAAGAGTTGTTGCAGGCAATGTTTACGTAGCTTTGCATGATTTTGCATGAAACTATTTTTTGAAAATTTCACTTCAACCCCCCCAAATCCCCTCTTGATTTACTAAGGCCCAATTACATTCAAATGCTTGCAATTAGATCCTAGGATAGTTGCAATTGGAACCGTGGCTTGACTTTTTCTTTGCTATTTGACCTTTTAAAGTTCCTTAAATGTTTTGATTGGGCTTGCATGGTTGATTAATTTTTGCAATTGGATCTCTGTTGTGTGATTGTGCCTTGATATGTTTTTTCATGTGAATTGTGGACAATGTTAATAGATTTCTAGGATCAAATCATGAAAGTTTGGTAACTTGGAAGCATTGGTGGTCTTGATTTTGTTTGTTTTAAATTTTGCTTAGCTAATCTTGTTTCTAAAACTTTAAATAATTTTCCATTTCTTCCTTTCGTGATTTTTTTGCACTTGATTGCGATAGATTCCACCTTCAGCGTTTCAATTTAGCACTCCAATTTAGATTCTTGAGACTTTTTATTTGAGACCGAGTTTTGCTTGCACGTGCATGGTCTATTCCATATTTAATTTTCGTTTCATGCTTAATTTCCATTTGTTTGTGTTTAATGGTTGTTTTATGTGATTATTTGATAATTTAAGTGGTACCTTGACCTGTTTATTATTTTGGAGGGTAAGTTAGTAATTTCACTACGTTAGGGCGTCGCT